CTTCTATTTGTAATAAGTGATGAGTAGGACTATTAGGCGTAGGCAAAAGATCTTGATGAGGGTTATTTTAAGTGATTTGAGCACCCTTCGAATCATGGTGGTGAAAGGACAGCACCGTAACATATTGTTCTGGGTTCCACTGCACAAGAGGGGGTCCGTGGAGTTTTATGAACATCAAGGCAGACACGCTGTGAGTTTGGATCCTCGATCTCGTTGGTGGGATGATAAGGTTCATGCAGCGGATGAGTTTGTCTGCATACGCAATAGAGGTGGTACGTTTCTGCGTAGCCGCGGGAAGTAGGGGTGCTGAGGGTGCTGCAGCACCCCCTGAAAAATCTGAATAAAATGTAAACAAATTAGACCCAAAAGTAGTGCACTGGGTCTTTATTAGCCCTTTATTAGCAGACCGATACAGCTGTCTATAGCGGGCCGATATAATAATTGAGCTCAGGTGCGTCCTGTTTCCATTGATCATCCTTGAGATGTTTCTAAATTGTAAATTCAACTGATTGGACATGATTCGGAAAGGCACACACCTGTCTATGTAAGGTCCCACAGTTGACAGTGCATGTCAGAGCAAAAACCAAGCCATGAGGTCGAAGGAGTTGTCCGTAGAGCTCCGAGACAGGATTGTTTCGAGGCACAGATCTGGGGAAGGGTACCAAATAAATTGAAGGCCCCCAAGAACACAGTGGCCTCCATCATTCTTAAATGGAAGTAGTTTGGAACAACCAAGACTCTACCTAGAGCTGTAACGTAACAACATTTTGCCCTCAGAACAGCCTCAATTCGTCGGGGCATGGACTCTACAACGTGTCGAAAGCGTTTGCCGAAAAACAGTAGGATTTTAGGGATGGGAAAATAACCTTCCTGCCAAGTAAAAATTAGCCTACTGATTCGGACGGGACTAAAATTACAGATGTGGTGATTTGTGTTCATACACATAACATTACCTGAGCTCCCCCAGTAAACGTATCCCGTCTGAATAGGGCTAAAGTCATGGAAAGAGCTGGTGTTCTAGTTTTGTATACTCCGTGTATCTTTTGATTAATTTCCTTTCACGGTAGCTCCCAATACTTTCACCTACTTAGGGGTCTGTGTGACTTGGAAATTCAAAGACCTGTTACATTTTTATTTCAAGCCAGCCTTGGAGAAATCTAAGCAGGACCTCAATCGCTGGTCGACACTCCCCATATCACATACACTGAGTGTACAAAACATTAAGGACACCTTCCAAATATTGAGTTGCACCCCCTGCTTTTTGCCCTCATAATAGCCTGAATTTGTTGGGGCGTGGACTCTACAAGGTGTCGAAAGCATTCCACAGGGATGCTGGCCCATGTTGACTCAAATGCTTCCCACAGTTGTGTCAAGTTGGCTGGATGTCCTTTGGGTGATGGACCATTCTTGATACACACGGGAAACTGTTGAGCGTGAAAAACCCAGCAGCTTTGCAGTTCTTGACACAAACCGATGCGTCTGGCACCTACTACCATACCCCATTCAAAGGCACTTAAATATTTTGTCTTCCCCATTCACCTTCTGAATGGCACATGTACACAATCTATGTCTCGACGCTTAAAAATACTTATTTAACCTGCCTCCTCCCCTTCAACTACACTGATTGAAGTAGATTTAACAAGTGACATCAATAAGGGATCATAGCTTTCACCTGGATTCACCTGGTCTGTCTATGTCATGGAAAGAGCAGGTGTCCTTGATGTTTTTTTACACTCAGTGTATATCTACTTTAATTTGGAATAAAAAGATCCCACGGTTGCGTAAAGCGTTTTTGAAAAGATATAAAGGAGAGGGGGGTCTTGCTCTACCCAGTTTCCTCCATTACTACTGGGCTGCAAATATTCACAAGATAACCTTTTGGGTCTCTACATTCTTAGAGGGGGAAGGACCAACTGGTGTGGTCCCTTATGGAAAAACACTCATGTCAAACATCATCCCCGGTCTCCTTAGTCTCTGCCTCCCCAATCTCTCCCACTCACCAGCTGGCTTGATGAATGTTTGAACCTGGATCCCTATGTAAAGGGACACATTTCTATGCTGTATGACATTATTCCGAATATTGCATGCCCCAATCTTGACCATGTAAGTCATTCATGGGAGGAAGAGTTTGTAATCGAGATCTCCGATATCACCTGGCATTCTACAATTAACAGGATACACTCATCCTCTGTCGACATCAGACATGGGTTAATACAGTTTAAAGTATTTCATCGCCTACACTTCTGCAGGAGTAGACTTGCCAGATAGTATCCTGATATAGACCCAACCTGCTCTATATGCCATCAGGCTCCCGCCACACAGTATCACATGTACTGGTCATGCCCGACACTAGTTCCATTCTGGTCCTCTATCTTTGAGACTTTCTCATATATATGCAATAAGGAAATTGCCCCAACTCCCTTTGTCGCTGTTTTTGGTGCAGCCCCCGAAGGGATTACTTTCTGCAACACCCAAGCAGGGGCCATAGCCTTCTCTTCCCTTCTGGCCCACCCACTTATTATTTTAAAGTGGAAGTCAGATACCATCGCATACTCACTGAGTTAGGGATGTTATGGCCCATCTTAAACTGGGTTAGAGATGTTATGGCCCATCTCAAACTGGGTTAGAGATGTTATGGCCCATCTCAAACTTGAGAAGGTAAAATATTCCACCCATGACTCCTCTCAAAAGTTTTATTTACATTTTACATTTACGTCATTTAGCAGACGCTCTTATCCAGAGCGACTTACAAATTGGTGCATTCACCTTATAGCCAGTGGGATAACCACTTTACAATGTTTATTTATTTTTTATTTATTTGTTTTTGTATTTCAAATATTATTATTATTTGTTTTAATTATTTTTTTTTTTGGGGGGGGGGGGTTGGGGTAAGGGAGGGGTCTGGCAGCCATTTCAAATCAAATCAAATGTTATTTGCCACATGCGCCGAATACAACAGGTGTAGACATTACAGTGAAATGCTTACTTACAAGCCCTTAACCAACAATGCATTATTTTCTTATTTTTTTCTTTTTAAAGAATAAAAGAAAATAGCTAAAGAGCAGCAGTAAAATAACAATAGGGAGGCCATATACAGGGGGCACCGGCTAGTCGAGGTAATTTAGGTAAATTGTACATGTGGGTAGAGTTAAAGTGACTATGCATAAATAATAAACAGAGTAGAGCAGCGTAAAAGAGGGGGATGGGGTGGGGGGGGCAGTGCAAATAGTCCGGGTAGCCATGATTAGCTGTTCAGGAGTCTTATGGCTTGGGGGTAGAAGCTGTTGAGAAGCCTTTTGGACCTAGACTTGGCGCTCTGGTACCGCTTGCCATGCGGTAGCAGAGAGAACAGTCTATGACTAGGGTGGCTGGAGTCTTTGACAATTTTGAGGGCCTTCCTCTGACACCGCCTGGTATAGAGGTCCTGGATGGCAGGAAGCTTGGCCCCAGAGATGTACTGGGCCGTACGCACTACCCTCTGTAGTGCCTTGCGGTCGGAGGCCGAGCAGTTGCCATACCAGGCGGTGATGCAACCAGTCAGGATGCTCTCGATGGTGCAGCTGTAGAACCTTTTGAGGATCTGAGGACCCATGCCAAATCTTTTCAGTCTCCTGAGGGGGAATAGGCTTTGTCGTGCCCTCTTCACGACTGTCTTGGTGTGTTTGGACCATAATAGTTTGTTGGTGATGTGGACACCAAGGAACTTGAAGCTCTCAACCTGTTCCACTACAGCCCCGTCGATGAGAATGGGGGCATGCTCAGTCCTATTTTTTTCCCTGTAGTCCACAATCATCTCCTATGTCTTGATCACGTTGAGGGAGAGGTTGTTATCCTGGCACCACACGGCCAGGTCTCTGACCTCCTCCATATAGGCTGTCTCATCGTTGTCGGTGATCAGGCCTACTACTGTTGTGTCGTCAGCAAACTTAATGATGGTGTTGGAGTCGTGCCTGGCCATGCAGTCATGGGTGAACAGGGAGTACAGGAGGGGACTGAGCACGCACCCCTGAGGGGCCCCCGTGTTGAGGATCAGCGTGGCAGATGTGTTGTTACCTACCCTTCTTGACTACTTTGAGAGTAACCTCTGCGCTGAGAACTTAATGTAGCCTTCTTTTATAAAAAAAAAAATGGTATTGTCCACCAGCTATTGCATAGTATAGTACCTTGAGTGATGCACATGTCAAAACATTTTGCAGGGGTATTTCATTTTTGTAGTTGTTGCTGTATTTATGTTTTTTTACTGTCAATTATGTTCTGTCTTTATGTCTACTTTTAAAAAACAATAAAAACAATTGCAATTTTTTTATATAAACAATTTTCAAAAGTATAAAGGACTTGCATTATGTTTTATCATTGATAAAAAGTTCAATATAAACAAAAACATTTATGATGTGTAACTATTTTTCCTTTTAAAGTGTTTTTCATGGTTGCAAAAGCGAGGGACGCAAATGCCACCCCATTTCAAGAATGACCCGGATATTAAATATTCCTATTGCTAAGTTTAAGGGCAAAACCTAGGTAATCATTGAAAACTGTTCAACGAGAAAGTAAAGATATGATTCACCCTGACAACAAATGTTTTATTTACCAGATAGGCCTATCTAAGATTGCAGGGAATAATCTTAAGGAGAACTGTGGTGGATTTGGTGCATGACCTCCCAGGGTGCTCACTGACACTGTGTAAGAGTGCCCCCTATTATATATTGGTTGGAACTGTGAGACCATTCAAGTTGACTACTACTAGGAATAAATATATTTGATCTCATAGCCTTAGCCTGGCATCCAAACTGAGGTGAAGTAAAACAACGGTGAGCGCAGCATTCAGTCTGGTTTAACCAGGCTATCATTGGCTCTCTCTGCCCTCCACATCATCTTTAGTTCTCAAGGGTAAACTAGATGACTAATTGAACATGGACACTAACAATACTGGGAAGAAAAAACATGGTTTATTTTCTTCAAAATATGGTGGATCTTCTGAATAGATGTGGGGTCCTGGGATCTTATGAGTCGTGCAGGTTTAGCAAAGCCTGAACTGTGTCAGAGAAGACAGAAAGAGAGTAGAGAGAGAGAGAGAGAGAGAGAGAGAGAGAGAGAGAGAGAGAGAGAGAGAGAGAGAGAGAGAGAGAGAGAGAGAGAGAGAGAGAGAGAGAGAGAAAACATCTTGACTCAAACATACTGTAGGTCTACTGTGTCTATTAATATCTATGTACTTCACAATGAGGTTATAAAATGAGGCATACTTATTACATGATTAAGGCACCTGACACAAACACAAGAAACCTATTCAGAAGGGAGCTGTTGTCACAATAGTTCAGACTCATTTCTACTAGTCTCGGCTATCAAGACTATTGCAAAGTGCATAGTCTGAAGTGGTTTCCTCTCCCTATCTCATCTCCTTCATCTGCACTCAGTGCCACCTCTAGCCTTCTGGGGGCCCTAAGAGAGATTTGGTCGGGGGGGCCCCCACCTCACGAGCAAAACCTTTTAGTGCCCCCCCCCTCTTGGCAGTTCAATTCCTGCAATTCTACACATTTTGCCATGGGGTATAGAGAAAGTGTGGCAGTTTTAAAGCAAATTTCCTGCAATTCTACACATATTGCCATGACTCATGCCATGTTCACATGATATCTGTGTGAGAGTGACTAACAAAATCAATGGGGCCCCCTAGTGGCCGCAGGGCCTTACGTGCAGCACGTAGTCCGTATATGAAGAGGAAGCTCTGTTCTCACTGATCAGTGCAGATTTAGGAAAGGAAACAAGGATATTAAGGAAGCCACTTATGACTATTGAGATGCAGCCCTAACCTGACCCCAGTCTCTTCCCCATTTAAATACAGTCCGGTAGGGGACTACTACCACTCTGTGTGATTCCTTACCTGCTAAGTTCTGCAGCCTCTTCCTCTCGTCCAGGTTGTGCTGCAGCATCTCCAGCAGCTCAAAGTACCTGAAAAGGGAGTCCCGTGGCCAGGTGACCTTCTCGTCCTCCTCCTGCTCCTGCATCACCTTCATGTTCTCCTCCACGTACGACTCCCAGTCTAACAGAGGGGGGAATAGGAGGAAACCAGTTAATTAGGGCATGAAACAGAAAATGCTGTAAAACTGTTTGCAGCAGAAAAGGAGTCCAGGTAGATGCTCTTTGTTTCAGTGTGTTTTATGTTTGGTGCCCTATGATGACCCAGATGGTTCAGACTACTCTTTTAGATTGCATCATAGTAATGAGATCTCAGTGTCCAGGGCATGTTGGTATGTTCACTGTAATTCTTAACAGAGTTGATGTACTGTATCAAATATCATCGCACACTCCAAATGTACTCCCTATGATTTATTGGGTATCACCAACATTTTGGCACACAGCCCAGCTAGCACATTTGGTTCCCTGGAAGTTGTGGGAACGTGTGTTTTTGGTTTCAGATTGGTTTCCAGGAATGGAGCCCTAAGTTTCCTGACCGGTTAAACTGAACGTTTTTTTTAAACATTCTTAGAACAAAACCAAACATTCCAGACTGTTCTGGGAACTTTTATTTTTTTTGTTGCAGGGAGATTCTGAGAACATTTTACTCGAGTTTCTGAGAGGTTATGTTAACTCTGAGAACAGAAATTATTGTTTATTTGATGGTAATCAAATAACATTCTGAGAACATTCTCTAAATGTTATGAAAGTTGTTATGTTATTATTGAAAGTTTGCTTAAGATTACAGTAGGTTTGATCTTGCACACGCTTAACAAGATAGAGGATTAGAGAGTTTTGTTGACGCTGAGAATGGAATGTATATGTAAATAACATTCTTAGAACATTCTCTGAAAGTTACTTACGTTTTTGTGGTTTTTCTGGAAAGTTTTCTAAATGTTCTGAGAACGGAATTTAGAGCTTATTGATGTTAATGTTCTGGTAACATTTAGAATTCCATTTTTTTGAACATTCCTAGAATATTGCCAAGAACAGACTCTGAAAGTTTTGAGAACATTGCTTAAGTTACACCATTTTTAAGAATGTTCACAGAATGTAGTCAAAATATGACATTAAACAGAACCACATGGGAACTTGTGTAGAATATTCTGTACTGAAATTCCCACAGAAGTTCGTTGTTTCTTAAATTTCTCTGAACAATTTGAGAACATTCCCAATGTCAAACCATTTGTAGAATGTTCTAAGAAATATTATTAAAAATGTAATTAAATGTAACCATGTGTGAACTTTAGGAAACGTTCTGTTAAAGTAAGAAATCGTTTTTTTGTCAAGTTCCTTAAATGTGCTGAGAATGTTCCAAAGCCAAGCAACTATACTGCACCATTCACAGAAAGTTGTGGGAAGGTTGTATGAAAATAACCATAGGACAACCACACACTCAGCTCTAAGAAACATAGGGTTCTTAGAATGTTCTTTATTCTGTGACAAAATAAATTGCTATTTTGTCTCATTCTAGGATCACAAGGAAATGGTCCCTATTCAATGTATGATGAGTATATTACTGTGTCCCAATGGTGGTTAGGTTTTGCACTTTGCGGTTGAAAAGAACCCACCTTTTTCTGGAATATTAGATCTTGTAAACTTTAGTAGATCCTCAGTGGAAAATGACTCTTCACCACCCTCTTCCACTGTGCTCAGCCTAAATGTATATGAATATATTAGACCTAATTTGAACTTTTTTCAATTGGGAATTTAAATTAAATTAATTAAATTGTGTCGACATCAAATTGTTTTATACATTTTACGATATGACAGGGACGAGAACGTACATTAAAGGGTATTAGAAACGGTCTTACCTGCCAAATTTCGAATGACTTATCCTCCTACAAAAAGAAAAGCAAAAACATACATTTTTCAAGGTATTTGTCAAAAGACATTTCAATGACATCAACATATTCTATCTAAACAAAGGTAATATATTGCTTAGTTTCTTCTACTATAACTCTAGATCTCACATATTGGCCCAGAATGTAATGGCGAACATCAACATCAAAGACATTATATCTTGAAAAAGATAATGCGGTTTCATTTCTTTACTGGAACTCTACATCTTATTAGCCAATCACACCGGTCTGAAGAGTCCAATAGAACATCTCCACACTCACCTGTTTATGATCTCAGCTTTAAAGAGATCAGCTTTGGCCTGGATCTCGATCTGCTGTACCTCTTTAGAGAGGTCACTCCGGATGGCCTGGAAGTTATTCACTGGATGGACAAAAAGGAAAATCTGAGCAATATAACATTAGCATACCACTTAGACTGCATGCCCAGTAGTATTTATGCAAGTAGTATGGACTTTGGAATAGTATGATTTAAAACCATTTTATATCAAACTGGCCCTCAAAGTTAGAACACATTTCATTTCCATTTTAATGTGAAATATCTAGATAAAAGATAAAGATCCACAAACAGTCAAGTCTGAGAATATTACAAAAGAAGATGAAATAGATGCTCTTTATCAAAGCATTACGGGGAAGTACCTACCCATAATACCCACAAAGATATTGCGGAATACGAAGGAGCCTATGAGGAGCCAGAGGATGATGTACAGGCCACAGGTGGCTTCGTCCAGTTCTGGAACTTTGCGGGTGTCGGCGAGCAGAGCGTACCAGTGATCCATGGTGAAGAGGATGAAGAGGGTGATGAAGGAGTTGTAGATATCTCTGGGAGAAAATTAAAGTTCATAAAAATCTTCAAAGATGTAACATGACTGTAGGTTTTGTTCCTTAACGGAAATTGATTCTGACTGGTTGGACTCTAACCTTATCTGTAATGTAATATCAAGAGTTTGCATTCTACCCTTGAAGGCCTCTTAAAATGTGTGAGAAAATGTAATGTTTCTCAATGACAACTGTTGTATCACATTAATATCATATTCTCTTCTCATAACTGAGAATGAGAAAAATACTACTGTTAAATACTTCCAAAGAAATCTATCTTTCATATAAGAGTAAATGTCACACACTTAAAGTTCATATTGTAGACCAGGCCCTCGACGTTGGAGCGAGTGTAACTCTCGAACAGGATGACTCCAACCACAGCGAAGATATAAGCAAACACCAGCAGCAGTAAGAAGATGAAGGTCATAGCCTGTAAACACACAGGGATATCATCTTTCAGTAGATTAGAATAAAGGCACTACATAACAGTGGGACAATTTATATGTTCCATGAGGTCACAAAAGGACCACACATATATATGGGTAGGACTAATCAAATCAAATGTATCACATGCGCCGAATTCAACTGGTATAGAATTTACAGTGAAATGCTTGCTTATGAACCTTTCCAAACGACAGTTGAAAAAAAATATATACAATTTTTTTTTGTAAATAACACGAGGAATAAAATAAAATACACAAGAATGGAGCTATATACAGGGAGTACCAGTACCAGATCAATGTGCAGAGGTATGAGGTATTTGAGGTAAATACACTACATTACCAAAAGTATGTGGACACCTGCTTGTCGAACATCTCATTCCAAAATCATGGGCATTAATATGGAGCTGGTCTCCCCTTTGCTGCTATAACATCATCCACTCTTCTGGGAAGGCTTTCCACTAGATGTTGGAACATTGCTGCGGGGACTTGCTTACATTCAGCCACAAGAGCATTAGTGAGGTTGGGCACTGATGTTGGGCGATTAGGCCTGGCTCGCAGTCTGTGTTCCAATTCAGAGGAACCAAAGGTGTTCGATGGGGTTGAGGTCAGGGCTCTGTGCAGGCCAGTCAAGTTCTTCCCCACTGATCTCGACAAACCATTTCTGTATGGACCTCGCTTTGTGCACGGGGCATTGTCATGCTGAAACACGAAACGGCCTTCCCCGAACTGTTACCACAAAGTTGGGAGCACAGAATCGTCTAGAATGTAATTGTATGCTGTAGCGTTAAGATTTCCCTTCACTGGAACTACGGGACCTAGCCCGAACCATGAAAAACAGTCCCAGACCATTATTCCTCCTCCACCAAACTTTACAGTTGGCACTATGCATTGGGGCAGGTAGCGTTCTCCTGGCATCTGCCAAACCCAGATTTGTCCGTCGGACTGCCAGATGATGAAGCGTGATTCATCACTCCAGAGAATGCGTTTCCAATGGCGGCGAGCTTTACACCATTCCAGCTGACACTTGGCATTGCACATGGTGATTTTAGGCTTGTGTGCGGCTGCTCGGCCATGGAAACCCATTTCATGAAGCTCCAGACGAACAGTTCTTGTGCTGACGTTGCTTCCAGAGGCAGTTTGGAACTTGGTAGTGAGTGTTGCAACCGAGGACAGACAATTTTTACACGTTACACGTTTCAGAACTCAGCGGTTCGGTTCTGTGAGCTTGTGTGGCCTACCACTTCGTGGCTGAGCCGTTGTTGCTCCTAGATGTTTCCACTTCACAATAACAGCACTTACAGTTGACCGGGGCAGCTCTAGCAGGGCAGAAATTTGACGAACTGACTTGTTGGAAAGGAAGCATCCTATGATGGTACCACGTTGAATGTCACTGAGCTCTTCAGTAAGGCCATTCTACTGCCAATGTTTGTCTATGGAAATGTCATGGCTGTATGCTTGATTTTATACCCATGTCAGCAATGGGTGTGACTGAAATAGCTGAATCCACTAATTTCAAGGGGTGTCCACATACTTTTGTATATATAGTGTATGTACATGAAGGCAAGGTAAAGTGACTAGGCATCCAGATAGACAATAATACGAGTAAAATAGAGTAGAAGTAGCAAATGATGATTGTTAAAGTGTGTGAGTATGCGTGTGTGTATGTATGTGTGTTTGTGTTGTGTCGGAATGTGTGTGTGTGTGTGTGCGTATGTGAATATGTGAGGGTTTTGTGTGGGAGTGACAGCGTAGTGTGTGCATATGGTATGTACAGTGCTTTCAGACCTCTTGATGTTTTCCACATTTTGTTATGTTACATCCTTATTCTAAAATTGATTAAATACACTTTATTCCTCATCAATCTACACACAATACCCCATAATAACAGTGCAAAAACAGGTTTTTAGAATTTTTGCGAATGTATTACAAATAAGAAACAGAAATACCTTATTTACTAAAGTATTCAGACCCTTTTCTATGAGACACTAAATTGAGCTCAGGTGCATCCTGTTTCCATTGATCACCCTTGAGATGATTCTACAATTTGATTGGAGTCCACCTGTGGTAAATTCAATTGATTGGACATGATTTGGAAAGGCACACACCTGTCTATATAAGGTCCCACAGTTGACAGTGCATGTCAGAGCAAAAACCAAGCCATGAGGTCGAAGGAATTGTCTGTAGAGCTCCGAGACAGGATTGTGTCGAGGCACAGATCTGGGGAAGGGTACCAAAAAATGTCTGCAGTATTGAAGGTCCCCAAGAACACAGCGGCCTCCATCATTCTTAAATGGAAGAAGTTTGGAACCACCAAGACTCTTTCTAGAGCTGGCCGCCCGGCCAAACCGAGCAATCAGTGGAGAAGGGCCTTGGTCAGGGAGGTGACCAAGAACCCGATGGTCACTCTGACAGAGCTCCAGAGTTCCTCTGTGGAGATGGGAGAACCTTCCAGAAGGACAACCATCTCTGCAGCACTCCACCAATCAGGCCTTTATGGTAGAGTGGCCAGACGAAAGCCACTCCTCAGTAAAAGGCACATGACAGCCCGCTTGGAGTTTGCCAAAAGGCACCTAAAGGACTCTCAGACCATGAGAAACAAGATTCTCTGGTCTGATGAAACCAAGATTGAACTCTTTGGCCTGAATGCCAAGCGTCACGTCTGGAGGAAACCTGGCACCATCCCTACGGTGAAGTATGGTGGTGGCAGCATCATGCTGTGGGGATGTTTTTCAGCGGTAGGGACTGGGGGACTAGTCAGGATCGAGGGAAAGTTGAACAGAGCAAAGTACAGAGAGATCCTTGATGAAAACCTGCTCCATTTTATTTTTCATAAATATGCACATATTTCAAGAAAACAGTTTTTGCTTTGTCATTATGTGATATTTAATCCATTTTAGAATAAGGCTGTAACTTAACAAAATGTGGAAAAAGTCAAAGGGTCTGAATACTTTCCGAATGCACTGTATAAAGTCTAGTGAGTGTGCGTAGGGTCAGTGCAAGACAGAGTCAGTGCAGATAGTTAATTGACTATTTAGCAATCTGGCTATTTAGCAGTCTTATGGTCTGGGGGTAGGAACTGTCTCAGAGCCTGTTGGTCCGAGAGCCGATGCTCCAGTACTGTTTGCCGGACGGTAGCAGAGTGAACAGTCTATAGCTTGGGTGGCCTGACTCGTTGTACATTTTTTGGGCATATAAAGGTCCTGGATGGCGGGGAGCTCGGCCCCAGTGATGTACTGGGCTGTCCGCACTACCCTCTGTAGCACTTTGCGGTCAAGGGCGATACAATTGCCATACCAAGCGGTAATGCAGCCAGTCAAGATTTGGACACCAAGGAACTTGAAGCTCTCGACCCGCTCCACAACAGCCCTGTCGATGTGGATGGGGGCGTGCTCTCCACTCTTTCTCCTATAGTCAAAATCAGCTCCTTGGTCTTACAGATGTTGAGGGAGAGGTTGTTGTCCTGGCACCACACTGCTAAATCTCTGACCTGTAGGCTGACTCATCGCCGTCGGTTATCAGGCCTACCACCGTCGTGTCGTCAGCAAACTTGATGATGGTGTTGGAGTCGTGTGCAGCCACGCAGTTGTGGGTGAACAGGGAGTACAGGAGGGGACCCTGTGGGGCCCCTGTGTTAAGGGTCAGTGTGGCGGAGGTGATGTTGCCTAACCTCACCACCTGGGGTCAGCCCGTCAGGAAGTCCAGGATCCAGTTGCAGAGGGAGGGATTCAGTCACAGGGTCCCTAGCTTGGTGATGAGCTTGGAGAGGACTATGGTATTGAACGCTGAGCTGTAGTCTATGAACAGCATTCTCACATAGTTATTTCCCCTCTTGTCCAGGTGAGAGAGGGCAGTATGAAGTGCAATTGAGATTCTGTCATCTGTGGATCTGTTGGGGCGGTATGCGTATTGGAGTGGGTCTAGGGTGTCTGGGATGATCGTTTTGATGTGTGTCATAACCAGCCTTTCAAAGCACAGATGTGAGTGCTACAGGGCGATAGTCATTTAGGCAGGGTACCTTGGAGCTCTTGGGAACAGAGACAATAGTGGTCAGCTTGAAACATGTTGGGATTACAGACTGAGACAGGGAGAGATTCAAAATGTCTGTTAAGACACCTGGTCTGCGCGTGCTTTGAGAACGCGCCCTGGTATTCCATCTGGCCCGGCAGCCTTGTGATTGTTAACTTGTTTAAACGTTTTGCTCACATCGGCCACAGAGAACGAGATCACACAGTCATCTGGGAAAAACAGGGCTTTCACGCAAGGCACAGTATTATATTCCTCGAAGCGAGCATAAAAGGCATTTAGCTCGTTTGGGAGTTCTGCATTGCTGGGCAACTCATGGCTGGGTTACCCTTTGTAATCCGTTATCGTCTGCAAGCCCTGCCACATACGACGAGCGTCATAGCCGGTGTAATAGGATTACACCTTCCTCCTATATTTCTTGTATGCGTCCATGTCTGTGTCCCGTTCCTTATAAGCGGTAGCTCTAGCCTTTAGCTCAGCACGGATATTGCCTGTAATCCATGGTTTTTGGTTTGGATACGTTCTTATAGTCGCTGTGGGGACGACATTGTCTATGCACTTATTGATGAAGCACGTGACTGTTGTGGTAAACTCCTCAATGTTATCGGTTGAATCCCGGAACATATCCCAGTCTGTACTAGTAAAACAGTCTTGTAGCCTCGCGTCTACTTCGTCCGACCACTTCTGTATTGAGTGCATCACTGGTACTTCCTATTTGAGTATTTGTTTGTAAACAGGAAGCAGGAGAATGGAGTCATGGTCAGATTTGCGGAAGGGAAGACGAGTGAGGGCCTTGTATGCGTTTCTGTGGACAGAATAAAAGTGGTCTAGAGTTTTAGCGCCTCTAGTGGTGCAAGAGACGTGTTGGTAGAAGTGAGGTAGGACGGTTTTAAGTCTCCCCGTGTTAAAGTCTCCGCCCACCAGAAACACTGCTTCTGGGTGAGCGGTTTCTTGTTTGTTTATAATAATAATAATAATAATAATATGCCATTTAGCAGACGCTTTTATCCAAAGCGACTTACAGTGGTCCTCTGTAGCTCAGCTGGTAGAGCACGGCGCTTGTAACGCCAAGGTAGTGGGTTCGAACCCCGGGACCACCCATACACAAAAAAATGTATGCACGCACGAGTTTATGGCCCCATACAGTTTGTTGCGTGCCAGAGTGGTGTTGGCCTGTGGAGGAATGTAGACGGCCGTGATAATTACGGATGAGAACTCTCTTGGTAGATAAAAGGTTCTGCAGCTTACCATGCGGTATTCTATATCAGGTAAGCAAAAGCTTGAGATTTCCTTTACACTTGAAGCAGCACACCAGTTGTTATTTATGAAAAAACACACTCCGCCTCCTTTCGATTTCCCGAAGCCACTGTCAGATCCTGCTGCTGCATGGAGAATCCACCGAGTACTACGTGCATAGCGTCATCCTCCAGCAAAGTTTCTGTAAGACATATAATATTGCAGCTTTTCAAGTCTCTATAATAGGAGACTCTCGAACGAAGCTCATCCATCTTATTCTCGAGTGACTAGACATTTGCCAATAGAAAAATGCCATTCATTCAACTTTTATGGTGACAAAAACGCCCTCATTTGCTGTATGATTTGGAGATGTTGGAACTGGGCCATGACAGATTTGATCACATTTCTGTAGCGGACGTGGGCAGAGTGTTTAAATCTTTTGCAGTGACTTATTCAAACCAAAAATGCATGCCATCTATAGCGAGTGCCAAACACTGGCTGCACATTCTGCAAGATTGATTGTTCTTTCGAAAAATGTCAAAGTAAATGCTACAGTCCACATTTCTATATGCAAAAGACAAAATATTTTGTTTATCAATACATTATTGTGTTTCTATCTCCTGCCGTGGTATAAACTCTGAGATTACAGGCCATGATGTCACGCTCTTATCACACAATTATTTTAAAATCAAATGTTATTAATACAACGGGTGTACACCTTACAGTGAAATGCTTACTTACAAGCCCTTAACCAACAATGCAGTTTTAAGAAAAATAAGTGTTAAGAAAGTATTTACTCAAATAAACTGAAGTAAAAAAGAAAGAAAGAAAAAGAAAAAAGAAAAAAAGAAAAATAACACATCATTAAAGAGCAACAATAAAATTACAGTAACAAGGCTATATACAGGCTACTATTTACTTATTTACTATTTACTTTCGAGCTTGGGTATTGAATGAGCGATGGATAAAAGTTAGCCTAATTTGTTGTGTAGCGGAAATAAACAGAAAAGGAGAGACGTCCTGCAATATGATTATGATTTAGGCCTACAGTTGAAGTCGGACGTTTACATATACCTTATCCAAAGACATTTAGTGTAGGCATTTGAGTGTAGGCATGAGCTGAGCTGTACATGAGATACTCATACTTTCCTGTCAAGTTCAACTTGATAAATGCCAACCTTTGCGTGAAAACTGGCGCACAAGGTTTATAGTCCTTTTTGTGCACATGCACCTTTGAGAAATGTGTAATTAATGTTTGTCCTACTCCCAAAGTCTATGTCACTCAGTCTCTAACTTCACAATGACGCCAATACAGTGGGTGTGTAAAACTGTTGGATCCACAAAAATAGAATAATAACTATACTGTATTTCTACGGTTGGTTCCCTACCTTGAAAGCTTTGGAGATGGCCAACACGATAAGGCGAATCTGCCTGAACTTGGAGATAATTTTCAGGGAGCGGAGGATACGGAACTTCTTCAGGAGTGACACAATCTCCAAGTCATCAGTGTCCACCCCTTTGAAGACCTTCACGATCTCTGGTATAACAGACTGTGGGAGGAGAGAGGTAACTTGAGTACTGTAACTGGGATTTGGACTTCCGCAGTAATGTCATTCAAACAGTTCATCTGTATCGGCCAATGCCTATCGTCTCCAGGTATTTCTAAATGTCTATGAATTGCAAATACTATGTATGTATGTATGTATGTATGTATGTATGTATGTACAGTGCCTCCAGAAAGTATTCATACCCATTAACTGATTCCACATTTCAAAATGGATTAAATATATATTTTTTCTCACCCATCTACACAAAATACACCATAATGACAAAGTGAAAACATGTTTTTAGAAAGTGTTGCACATTTATTGAAAATGAAATACAGAGATATATAATTTACACTGCTCAAAAAAATAAAGGGAACACTTAAACAACACAATGTAACTCCAAGTCAATCACACTTCTGTGAAATCAAACTGTCCACTTAGGAAGCAACACTGATTGACAATACATTTCACATGCTGTTGTGCAAATAAATAGACAACAGCTGGAAATTATAGGCAATTAGCAAGACACCCCCAATAAAGGACTGGTTTTGCAGGTGGTGACCACAGACCACTTCTCAGTTCCTATGCTTCCTGGCTGATGTTTTGGTCACTTTTGAATGCTGGCGGTGCTTTCACTCTAGTGGTAGCATGAGACGGAGTCTACAACCCACACAAGTGGCTCAGGTAGTGCAGCTCATCCAGGATGGCACATCAATGCGAGCTGTGGCAAGAAGGTTTGCTGTGTCTGTCAGCGTAGTGTCCAGAGCATGGAGGCGCTACCAGGAGACAGGCCAGTACATCAGGAGACGTGGAGGAGGCCGTAGGAGGGCAACAACCCAGCAGCAGGACCGCTACCTCCGCCTTTGTGCAAGGAGGCGCAGGAGGAGCACTGCCAGAGCCCTGCAAAATGACCTCCAGCAGGCCACAAATGTGCATGTGTCTGCTCAAACGGTCAGAAACAGACTCCATGAGGGTGGTATGAGGGCCCGAAGTCTACAGGTGGGGGTTGTGCTTACAGCCCAACACAGTGCAGGACGTTTGGCATTTGCCAGAGAACACCAAGATTGGCAAATTCGCCACTGGCGCCCTGTGCTCTTCACAGATGAAAGCAGGTTCACACTGAGCACATGTGACAGACGTGACAGAGTCTGGAGATGCCGTGGAGAACGTTCTGCTGCCTGCAACACCTCCAGCATGACCGGTTTGGCGGTGGGTCAGTCATGGTGTGGGGTGGCATTTCTTTGGGGGTCTGCACAGCCCTCCATGTGCTCACCAGAGGTAGCCTGACTGCCATTAGGTACCGAGATGAGATCCTCAGACCCCTTGTGAGACCATATGCTGGTGCGGTTGGCCCTGGGTTCCTCCTAATGCAAGACAATGCTAGACCTCATGTGGCTGGAGTGTGTCAGCAGTTCCTGCAAGAGGAAGGCATTGATGCTATGGACTGTCCCGCCCGTTCCCCAGACCTGAATCCAATTGAGCACATCTGGGACATCATGTCTCGCTCCATCCACCAACGCCACGTTGCACCACAGACTGTCCAGGAGTTGGCAGATGCTTTAGTCCAGGTCTGGGAGGAGATCCCTCAGGAGACCATCTGCCACCTCATCAGGAGCATGCCCAGGCGTTGTAGGGAGGTCATACAGGCACGTGGAGGCCACACACACTACTGAGCCTCATTTTGACTTGTTTTAAGGACATTACATCAAAGTTGGATCAGCCTGTAGTGTGGTTTTCCACTTTAATTTTGAGGGTGACTCCAAATCCAGACCTCCATGGGTTGATAATTTTGATTTCTATTGATAATTTTTGTGTGATTTTGTTGTCAGCACATTCAACTATGTAAAGAAAAAAGTATATAATAAGATTATTTCATTCATTCAGATCTAGGATGTGTTGTTTAAGTGTTCCCTTTATTTTTTTGAGCAGTGTACATATGTATTCACACCCCTGAGTCAATACATGTTAGAATCACCCTTGGCAGCAATAAGTCTTTCTGGGTAAGTCTCTAAGAGCTTTGCACACCTGGATTGTAAAATATTTGCCATTATTATTTAAAAAAATATTCAAGCTCTGTCAAGTTGGTTGTTGATCATTGCTAGACAGCCATTTTCAAGTCTTGCCATAGATTTCCAAGCCGATTTAAGTCAAAACTGTAACTCGGCCACATTCACTGTCTTCTTGGTAAGCAACTCCAGTGTAGATTTGGGCTTGTGTTTTAGGATATTGTCCTGCTGAAAGGTGAATTAATCTCCCATTGTCTGTTGGAAAGCAGACTGAACCAGGTTTTCCTCTAGGATTCCTCTAGCATTCTGTTAATTTTTTATTCTGAAAAACTCCCCAGTCCTTAACGATTACAAGCATACCCATAACATGATGCAGCCACCACTATGCTTGAAAATATGGAGAGTGGTACTCAGTAATGTGTTATATTGGATTTTCCCCAAACATAACGCTTCGTATTCAGGACAAAAGGTTAATTGCTTTGCCACAATTTTTGAAGTATTACTTTAGTGCATTGTTGCAAACAGGATGCATATTTTGGAATATTTTTATTCTGTACAGGCTTCCTTCTTTTCACTCTGTCAATTAGGTTGGTATATGCTGTTGATCCATCCTCAGTTTTCTCCTATAACAGCCATTAAACTCTGTAACTGTTTTAAAGTCACTATTGGTCTCATGGTGAAATCCCAGAGTGGTTTAATTCCTCTCCGGCAACTGAGTTAGGAAGGACGCCTGTATCTTTGTAGTGACTGGGTGTATTGATACACCATCCAAAGTGTAATTAATAACTTCACCATGCTCAAAGGGATATTATATATATATATTTTTTTTACCCATCTACCAATAGGTGCCCTTCTTTGCGAGGCATTGGAAAACCTCCCTGGTCTTTGTGGTTGAATCTGTGTTTAAAATTCACTGCTTGACTGAGGGACCTTACAGATAATTGTATGTGTGGGGTACATAGATGAGGAGTTCATTCCAAAATCATGTTAAATACTATTATTGCACACAGAGTGAGTCCATGCAACTTATTATGTGACTTGTTAAGCACATTCTTACTCCTTAAACTTATTTAGGCTTGCCATAACAAAGGGGTTAAATACTTTTCATTTTATATTAATTTTAAAAAATGTCTAAAAACATAATTCTACTTTGACATGATGGGATATCGTGTGTAGGCCAGTGACACACAGTCTCAATTTAATCAATTTTAAATTCAGGCTGTAACACAACAAAATGCGGAAAATGTCAAGGGGTTTGAATACTTTCTGAAGGCACTGTACAGTGCATTCGGAAAGTATTCAGACCCCTTGACTTTTTCTGCATTTTGTTAAGTTACAACCTTATTCTAAAATGTATTACATCGTTTTTTCCCCATCAATCTACACACAGTACCCCATAATGACAAATCAACAATAGGTTTTTAGAGTATGCCAAGAGTGTGCTAAGCTGTCATCAAGGCAAAGGGTCGCTACTTTGAAGAATCTAAAATCTAAAATATATTTTGATTTGTTTAACACTTATTTGGTTACGACATGATTCCAAATGTGTTATTTCATAGTTTTGATGTCTTCACTATTATTCTACAATGTAGAAAATAGTAAAAAGAAAGAAAAAATGAGTAGGTGTGTCCAAACTTTTGACTGGTACTGTACATAATGCATAGGCCTATATGTAGGTTTGTATGTATTTATTTATGTGTATCTATCTATCTACATCACATCTACAGTACATTCACATCGAGAGAACTCGCTATTCAATTCTTTGCTGGTTTGACTCTTACCAGCATGGTAACAGCAAAATCAAAGATATTCCAGGTGCTTTTCCAGAAGTTCCAGAAGTTGTCCAACCACTTCAGTAGGATCTCCAGGAAGAAGATGGCCAGGATGCTCCAGTCCAACATTTCCAGAACCAGCTTCACAATCTCCAGCTTGGGGTCCATGTTGTCAAACACCTCTGGGGCAGAAAGAATAATCAGGTTGCCAGGTCTACGTCTAGTCCAGCCAACAACAAGCAATGAGTTGGCTAAAGCAAAGACAGATCATCTGCAGACCTTAGAATAGATTTTGAAGCTAGGAAAGTTCTAAGCTGAGTGTTGATTAAAAAAAATTTTTTTAATTGCCAGGCAAAATAGTTTAGAGATTGGGGGATAGTTATTCATGTTGGAGGGGTCACCACCCACCTTTGAGAGGCTGCACATGGGCAGCCTTCCAAACCCTAGGGATAGCACCTGAGATAATTGTCAGGTTAAAATGTTTTCAATGATTCTGCAATCAGGGTAGCAGAAAGATGCAGCAAGAAAGGATTAAGAAAATCAGCCCCAGTGGATTTTTTTAAACATGAACCTTAAACAAGGCGTCTAGCACATCTCAAGTAGAAAGTTGTTGAAATTAAAACAAAGATTCACTAGATGTTGACTGATCTCCCATCGAGCCAACTGGAGGCTGGGAGAGGGGAGAGCAGTCGACCGACTGAGCAGGGTCAGTTACAGTGATGTAAAGTACTTAAGTAAAAATACTTGAAAGTACTACTTAAGTAGTTTTTTTGGGTATCTGTACTTTACTTTACTATTTGTATTTTTGACAACTTTATACTTTTACTTCAGTACATTCCTAAAGAAAATTATGTACTTTTTACTCCATACATTTTCCCTGACATTACATTACTCATTACATTTTGAATGCTAAGCAGGACAGGAAAATTGTCTACAGGTCCCCTGTAGCTCAGTTGATAGAGCATGGCGCTTGCAACGCCAGGGTTGTGGGTTCATTTCCCACGGGGGGCCAGTATGGAAATGTATGCACTCACTAACTGTAAGTCGCTCTGGATAAGAGTGTCTGCTAAATGACTAAAATGTCAATGTAAAATGTAAATGTCTAATTCACACACTTATCAAGAGAACATCCCTGGTCATCCCTACTGCCTCTGATCTGGAGGACTCACTAAACACATGCTTCATTTGTAAATTATGTCTAAGGGTTGGAGTGTGCCCCTGTCTATCCGTAAATTAAATAAACAAGAAAATGGTGCCATCTGGTTTGCTTAATTCAAGGAATGTGAAATGATTTATACTTTTACTTTTGATACTTAAGTCTATTTTAGCAATAACATTTACTTTTGATACTTAAGTATATTTAAAACCAAATACTTTTAGACTTTTACTCAAGTAGGATTTTACTGGGTGACTTTTACTTTTACACATTTTCTATTAAGGTATCTTTACTTTTACTCAAGTATGACAATTGGGTACTTTTTCCACCACTGGTCAGTTAAACCTCAATTTCTTTCAAATAAAAAGCCTGCTGAGATTAAAAGCATCACTTAACTCATTTTCTCTCAGTAATGACGCCAGTCTGACACAACTTGCTTAGGCAGGGAAGGAGAGGAATTTCCACATTCCACTGTTTTTCAAAATGTTTACGGATCATCAGCAGAGTCTGAGATAGAATTTACAAAGTAGCTTGATTGAGCGTTCTTAATTGAGAAGGTGTATCTATTTCTCAATTGCCTGAAATGCTGCCAATCAGCTACTGAGTCAGTTTGTCTGCCAGAGATATAAAAATAGATTAAAAAAGTTATAGAGCCAGTTCAGGTTCAGGCATGCAGCTGATAGAGGAAAGCTCAGAGCAAAACATACAGTATCTTGAAGAGACACTTGGGGAGAGAGGTTTTTTTGTTTAGTATCTCTAATGTGTGCAATGATCACTGATGTCATTAGCAAAACACCACTTGATAAGTACTTGTGGGAGCTATTTGTCAAAATTTGGTTAATCAGCGAGGACTTTGCTGGGTTTCTTACATTACTCTGTGTAGGTTTGGAGATTAGTTGAGTCAGGTTATAGTCAAGAAAAATATTATTCAAATGATCAGAGGCCGGGTTAAGCCAATCCAGGTTAAAATCTTCTAACATAACTAATTCAGATTACATAAAAGGTTTTAAATACTCAGAAATAGTACCAACAGCATCCGCCAGTGCAGCAGGAGGGCAGTAAATCCCTGCTACAAACAAATGAGTATTTTGGCATAAAGCCACATCTATAACCAAACACTCAAACTTTTTGAGGATAGTGACATTTAGAGAACATGATCCCACGTGTTTATTTCACATGTATAGCGACCCCTCACTCTTTTTTCAGTATATCACACCTGAAGATGTTGTAATCACCTATTCCAATGTCCTTATTCAGAATCAAACCATTGAGCCAGGTCTTTGTGAGAACCAGAATATCAGGGCTTGTGTCATGCACCCAGAAATGAAGAAGGTCCATCTTTGACATGACGTTTATGTGCAACAGTCCAGCCGGCCTGACAGAGTTATTGCCGGAATGACAGTGGTATTCAGGGGAGTTAGAGGAACATAAATTAGGTTACTTACATTGACCACCCATTTCTAAGGGAAATAACATGCTTTCCATGTCCTTTGTTGCTAATTATGACAGGGAGGACTGGAACACTAACAGACATTGAAATATAGTAGGCATTCAAGCTATGTAGTGAAACATCTTATGGCGTTAAAAATTCCAGTCAAAGCTCATAGACCCGGCAGTGGAAATGTGGGGATAAAATGCTTTACAAATGTTAATGATTATTTGACAGTGAATTGATATGAGAGACTTTGATATGTTTTACCTGCTTGTATCTCCAATACAATGGTGTTCAGAATGATGAGGATGATAATGATATTCGTAAATATTTTACCTTAGGAATTCTGTCAAGGTTGCATATCATACAGTGTACAGTAAACAGTACACTTGAAAGGAATATGTGCAAAGTTCTTTCTTGAGACAACACTTGTTCACCTGTAATGTTCCTATGAATAATCATGAAAAACGTTGGAAAACTCTTGAGCCCACCAAAAATAAAATAATACATACATGAGTCTCAAATACATCACCATAGTAGAACCCCCCCCCCCCCCCCCCCCCAAAAAAAATAATAATGAAAAATGTCATTGCAATTCCATGACATTTCCAGTACAACTAAAACCCAAGGCTTTGGTTTTCCATTCAGGACTGGGTGTAAGGATACTCTCTAGAATCCAGTGAGCAAACATGTTCAAGGGCGGATAGTTGACATGGCGGTTCTCCAGTCGTCCCTGGCGACGGCGTTCCATGGTGATTGTGCTGCCCCTCTGGGGGGAGATCTCGAAGCGCACCAGCTGGTGTGTGTCCTTCCCCATCAGACTGGTGTAGTTCTCCTCGTCTGTCACACACACACACACACACACACACACACACACACACACACACACACACACACACACACACAGAGAGAGACAGACAGACACACACACACGATAAGCAACCTTGTTATTTAGCAATGTCTTCTTAAAAACAATTCACACGATAAAATCACAGTATTCCTGTGTTGTAAAGTGTAGGCCAAGCAGGACCATCAGGTCTAAGCAGTTGAGCCTATCAGTTGTAGTGTGTAATCATCTCAAGTAAACATACTTCCACAAATCTCTTCACAGACAAACACCTCTAATCTCAAAACACTCGAGGCCGGTCTAATTCTGACCAAATAGGAAGCTATGTCATTACTGTGGGCTACCTAAAACATCATTGGTGCAGTATTTGGGGCTTCCTCTCTGCTCCTCCTGTAACTGGTCCAGCAGATAGAAGCTCTGGATGAGTTTGGACCTGACCATCTCCGCTCTGGGAAGGAACTTCTCTTTGGTTGACTTGCCCCTCCCATTATGGCTGTTGTAGGAGGGGGGTTCCTGGGAAAATCCATGCAAGTTATCAGAAAACTGCAATTGTTGTCAGTGATTAGACCCTGAATTTACAGTGAAGTTTTAAAATAATGTCATTAATATGACAATTTGGATAGCCATAAGTTCACAACATGAAACAGTCTTGTTAAGTTATTACTTACCTGTGTCCCCATTTGTCTGTATGAATTTTGTTCAGCTAAGCAAAACGAAAGCAGTTTGACATGATTTCACCTAAGCAGTTTGACATGACTGAACTGTTCCTTTCAACAGAACACAAATTTGTCATAAATCGAAATGGTATTTTACTATGTGTGACGTCACAACAGTATAACGTTCTAGAACAAAATCTCTCACCTGTTATGCCATTATTACATCGTTCATCAAAACGTGTTTGGTGTTGTCTGTACTTCATAAATCAATCAACTTTGTCAAGCTCTTAGTTTAAAATACTGTAGTGATTAATAAATGTAAGGTATTGTCTCATCTGATATTATATTATTATTATTATTATACAGAACATTTTTGTTTGGAAAGAAAAACACAATTTATCAATAGTAATGAATATGCAATGAATATTATAATAATACTAATTTAACATCTGTAATTTTATATTTTTCCCCCAACAAAGTGTGTTATACTGTATTTAGATTAATTGAACTCAGTGATCAATATCATTTTTTCGATTCAAGTATGATAAAAGAGATGGATGGGGATTGGTCGTGGTGGGTGCACCCAGTGAGCAAGGAAATCATGTGTGCCTGACTCTTATTGGCTGATTCAGACAGTATGACGCTGTTCAAAATCCAATGGTGAGATGCCACACTTTGTTTAGAAGCCCCGTAATTCACCTCCTCACCATCTCCGCTAACCCTTTCTCTTTCTCTTTCGAACAGTGCCTCCAACATTGGGCCTAGCGAGAAAGCCTGGCACTTTCTCACATTAGGAGGGTTTCCAAAAACCGACTTTACATTTAAATTGCTGCTCTTTTGGCACCATTGAAGACATCGGCACGCTTCATAATGTTGACATTGTTTTTCTTCATTGTTCTCGCCGGGGCTGCTCGGTCGAGTGATGTGATAGAATTCTCTGATGACGATTTCGACAGTAAAATTGGAGACCATGGGATGATTCTCGTGGAATTCTTTGCGCCATGGTAAGGTCTACAGAAACGCATAGCTAACTAGCTAGCTACATTCTGAGGCTAAATGGTTACAACATTAACGTTACAATGTTGTCTCCAGTGAACAGACACCGTTAGCTAGCTAGCTCTACTGTTCAGTTACTCACGCAAGAGGAATAAAAAATAAAAAGTTAATGCTCCTTATAATTGAATAGTTCTTTGACTTTCTGGCTATCAACTAACTTAACTAGCCACTAGCTAACTATGTCTATTTTAAGTTAGAAAAGTGTTTGTTTCTCCAAATTAGCTACCTACTTAATGGTTAGCTCACAACATTTGCTAACAAGTTAGGAAGTGAATGTCAAATTAGCCACAGCCTAGCCATAGTGACTCATTTCTGCTACTTATTTCTTACATGCACTTTGCTAGCTACATAACGTTGCTCGTTATCAAAGATCATATGTTATACTAGCTAGTTGAGGGTCTCAGAATGGACATGGTTAGTAGGTAACTAAGTTGGCTACTTTGGATGTGGCCTGGCAAGCCACAATGTTTCATGTAATAGAAAATTGCATTTTATTTCGTAGAGTTTACTCAAATTTAACTTGTCTAATTCTCAAACTTAGCTTGGAGGCTATTAGCGAGCTACTGTGGGTTTAAATCACCCCTTACAAGTAAGTTGGAGGCTTGGCATGCCACTTTTGTAACCTTATGATTGGCCAGTGAAGTTTGGGTGGCTACTCCTGATTGGTCCCCAGAACAGTTAGCAGGCAGTTCAATGCTGTCAAACTTGAACAAGACTTCCTCAGATAAAAAGAACAATCTATCCTTTTCAAGATGGCTGATAAGATTTGATAACTGAATTCACAGATTTGTATTTTACAGCAATGATGTGGATTTCCTTTTTCCTCAATAATGCGGCTGCATTTATTTGAACATCAATTTACAGTCATCCATTTGATCCATCACGGTGGTATCAAATTCCACCTAACTTTAACTCCCACCCCTCTCCTCTAGATTTCAAACTAATGTCTGAATGGTTCACTGCCGCCAGAGGCAACGTAAGGGTCAAGATTTTATGTTTTACAGATATCAGTTTACCTCACTTGTGTCCCTTAGGTGTGGCCATTGTAAACGACTAGCTCCAGAGTTTGAGGTGGCAGCCACACGTCTGAAAGGCATTGTCGCATTGGCCAAGGTACTTTAGTCACTTAATGCGCCTAACATTTGTACAATAAAATGTTACCTTTGGATTACAACAGGTTGTGTGAAATCCCCATACTGATGTAAAGACAGCCATGTCCACAAGGTTTATAAACTGAGTTAGTTGCCAAGTTTGTGCTCTTTGTCCCATCCACTAAGTAATGGCCACCTGTCATTATGCTTTAGGTCGACTGCACGGTCCACAACAATGTGTGCCAGAAATACGGAGTTAGCGGTTACCCAACACTGAAGATCTTCAAAGACGGAGAGGATGCCGGTGCCTACGATGGACCCAGAACTGCAGGTATTTGGACTTAACATGCCGTGTCTTGACCTGATGAGCTTAGATACAAAAGCATAATAACTGCCTGTCATCCACCTATTGTATGTTTTGACCCTGTATTTCAATGGTCTCTCTCTCTCTGTCAGATGGGATTGTGAGCCATCTGAAGAAGCAGGCTGGCCCATCTTCCGTGGAGCTCAAGACCGAGGCAGATTTCACGAAGTATGTCGGAGACCGTGACGCAAGTGTTGTGGGTAGGTTTTGCCTTGGAAAGTTGACCTCTGCATAAATAAACAAAACTAAGTGACTGAGTAAAGTATTTCTACTTTTGCCTTTGTCGTCAATGATATTTGACTGTATGGCGTATTTCCTGTGTTTGTCCAGGTTTCTTTGCTGACGGTGGAAGCCCAGCCCAAGCAGAGTTCCTTAAGTCGGCCAGTGCCCTCCAAGAGTCCTTCCGCTTTGCACACACCAACTCTGGGGAGCTTCTCCAGAAACATGGCATTGAGGGAGAGTGAGTTCTCCTCTTAAAATTGTGTTGTTTGCCTCCTTAAAGGCATAGTTCACTCATAGAAATTAACATGATTTCTCCACTTACCTTATATTAGGGGGTAGACCAGCTTTAATATTGCAGATTGTGGCTTCGATCAATGTAATTGCCTGCATCATTTCCAATTCCCCTATGTTTTGTGTGTGTGTAAATTATTATTATTATTATTATGTTCCCCTAACCTTACCTCCCCTCCCCTAGTTGGAGTAAACTAATGGACAACAACACTTAGGCTTCTACTTCCAGCTTATACATACTATATACATTTTACGGACCCAGTATTTTTGCATTAGTGATCTTATGTTTTTAGTCCCATCCTTCAGCTGCCCTCAACCCCTCCCATTTTCTCTGAATACCATCCAGATTATTTGCTATGTATTTATCAACTGTGCTGTGATGTTTCACAAAAGTTCTGAACCTTTCTATTCGCATAGTTTCTACAGATAGTAAATTAAATAGGGGGAAAAAAAATCGGAGTATTATTGATCGTTTGACTATGACTTTTCAAATCACTCAGCATTGCAATTTGCACAGTTGGCTCCAGGTAATTGTTGCAATTCTTCAGCCATTCCTGAACCTGCGACCAAAAACAAGCTACATATGGACAGTACCAAAACAAATGATGTAATGATTCTGACTCTTCGCAGCTAAATCTGCAGAGCTGGGATGGTTGTATCCCCCATATATATAACATTCCATTGGTTGCAAGAATTTTGTATAATTTATATTGAAAAACTCAAAGTTTTTAATCTGGCGTCGTTTTGTGTATCAGTTCATAAACCATGTTTGAGTGTCCTTACTTGATGTGACCTGATCTGACTGCTTGTGTTCTGTTGTATTGCAGGGGAATCATTCTGTTCCGTCCACCACGCCTCAACAACAAATTTGAAGAGAGCAGTATCAAGTTCAGTGAGGACAAGTTCACCAACACCATGATCAAGAAGTTTATCCAGGACAACATGTGAGTTTTACCACCTCAATATTTTCTCCCTCGTGTGGCCGGCAGTGATAAACCATAGGCAGTTTGAATAGATTCTTGTTGTTAGCATATTTAATTCATTCTTGGGAGATGCATGGACCAGTTTCTCTGTCAAGAGCAGCCCTTATCTCTTCTTTTTTTTTTTATCCCACTGTCAAGAGGGAGGGGATGGTGACATATTTTGAACAAGTTGTACCTCTTTTACGCTGCATTTTGGATGCTGACATTAATGAAAGGAGTTGTACCTCTTACACTGTTTTTTTCTCTCTCCATCAGCTTTGGAATGTGCCCCCACATGACTGATGACAACAAGGACCAAATGAAGGGCAAGGACCTGCTGGTGGCCTACTATGATGTGGACTATGAAAAGAACCCCAAGGGCTCCAACTACTGGAGGAACCGGTAGGGTCCCTAATAAATAACACTTATTCCCAGGAGGGGACCTCCTTTTCTGTCTCACGTGCTACGTGTGTTAATGTATTTTCTCCAGATGTCATTCCCCAAGACTAAACCTCATTTTGTGTACTCTGAATGCCGGATTCCTGGACACAGATGGAAAAGCATGTTCAATGGAGTTTTGTAACAGATTTGCATACAAGTGGACTCTTTGGGATCCATGACAAAATGTTCCAATGCATTGTTGTATGAACCCAACTCCCTCTCTTCGCTGTCTATAGGGTAATGAAGGTGGCCAAGAGCTTCCTGGACCAAGGAAAAACGCTGAACTTTGCCGTGGCCAACAAGAACAGCTTCAGCCAAGACATCGCTGAGATGGGCCTGGACGCCAGCTCAGGAGAGCTGCCCGTGGTTGGCATCCGCACTGCCAAGGGAGACAAATACGTCATGGCAGAGGAGTTCTCGTAAGTGTCACTCACCATGCAACTCAAAATGGCACTTCGGACATGGTATCCCTTATGTTAGGGTGACGTAGAACTGGGCAATATGGACAAAAATGCGATAAATTACGATTATTTTTTGGGGAAGTGCTAGAGCTGGGTGATATGGACAAAGTAATATCGCGATAAATGTAACTTTTGCTCGATAACAACAAATACCATAAACATTTAACTGACAGTTGCTTTATATTGCAAGTGGCAGGGCTCTAGACAAAAATGTTTCCAGTGCCAAGTAAGACAACTGAGATGGTAGCCTATGATAAAAAAAAAAAAAGTAAGCTGTTTCATCTAACAAATCTATGAAATGCATCATTGATATTTTTATGTGCAACCTGTCAAAATAGGATCCAGAATTATCCGATTTTTGGCTCTTCAGAGAATTTGCTGACGTCTTTGTGCATATTGACCTAAAGGCTATATTATTCACCAAGTGGGAACTCAAAACACTTAGCTAGATTGCTAAGTCTAAATATGGTATTGTTGCTTAATTTATGAATCTATCAGTAAATGTAGGCTAATGTCCTACAAAAACTTTCCAGCGCTAGGCCTAGGCTACTTGATACAAGCCTATTCACTGCAAATGAGCGCGCTCCGCGGCACATCAAAATCATACTACACAACAGCCTACTCCGGTTGTAAAGTGGTGCCATGAAATCAATATTATTATTTTTTTATTTTATTTCACCTTTATTTAACCAGGTAAGCCAGTTGAGAACAGGTTCTCATTTACAACTGCGACCTGGCCAAGATAAAGCAAAGCAGTGCAATAAAAACAACACAGAGTTACATATGGGGTAAAAAACATAGTCAAAAATACAACAGAAAATATATATACAGTGTGTGCAAATGTAGCAAGTTATGGAGGTAAGGCAATAAATAGGCTATAGTGCAGAATAATTACAATAGTATTAACACTGGAATGCTAGATGTGCAAGAGATTATGTGCAAATAGAGATACTGGTGTGCAAAGAGCAAAATAAATAACAATATAGGGATGAGGTAGTTGGGTGGGCTAATTTCAGATGGGCTGTGTACAGGTGCAGTGATCGGTAAGGTGCTCTGACAACTGATGCTTAAAGTTATGAGGTGAGGAATGTATTATATACTCTCAGAAAGCTGTTACTCTCCTCTCTGTAACTAGAACAACAGTAGTTGCTTTTTTAAAAGTTGTATTTTTTCCCGCAATAGCATTTTGAGCAATGGTCATACAATGCCTTCAGAAAGCATTCACACCCCTTCACATTTTTCACATTTTGTTACAGCCTGAATTTAAAATGGATTAATTTGGGATTTTGTGTCACTTGCCTACACACAATACCCCATAATGTCAAAGTGGAATTATGCTTTTCTAAAGTTATACAAATTTTATAAAAAATGAAAAGCTGAAATGTCTTGAGTCAATAAATATTCAACCCCTTTATGGCAAGCCTAAATAAGTTCAGGACCAAACATTTCCTTAACAAGTCACACAAGTTGCATGAACTCATTCTGTCTGCAATAATAGTGTTTACCATGATTTTTGAATGACTACCTCATCTCTGTACCCCACATGTACAATTATCTGTAAGGTCCCTCAGTTGAGCAGTGAATTTCAAACACAGATTCAACCACAAAGACCAGGGAGGCTTTCCAATGTAGATGGGTGAAAATAAGAAAAGCAGACATTGAATATCCCTTTGAGCATAGTGAAGTTATTAATTACACTTTGGATGGTGTATCAATACACCCAGTCACTACAACGATACAGGCGTCCTTCCTAACTAAGTTGCCAATGGTGACTTTAAAACAGTTACTGAGTTTTATGGCTGTGATAGAAAACTGAGGATGGATAAACAACATTGTAGTTACTTCACAATACTAACCTAAATGACAGAGTGAAAAGAAGGAAGCCTGTACAGAATCAAAATATTCCAAAACGTGCATCTTGTTTGCAAAAAGGCACTAAAGTAATACTGCAAAAAATGTGGCAAAGCAATTTACTTTTTGTCCTGAATACAAAGTGTTATGTTTGGGGAAATCTGTTACAGCACATTACTGAGTACCACTCCATATTTTCCAGCATAGTGGTGGCTGCATCATGTTATGGGTATGCTTGTAATCGTTAAGGACTGGGGAGTTTTTCAAGATAAAGAAACGGAATGGAGCTAAGCACAGGCAAAATCCTAGAGAAAGACCTGGTTCAGTCTGCTTTCCACCAGACATTGGGAGATGAATTCACCTTTCAGCTGGACAATAACCTAAAACACATGGCCAAATCTACACTGGAGTTGCTTACCAAGAAGACAGTGAATGTTCCTGAGTGGCCAAGTTACAGTTTTGACTTATCTGCTTCCAAATCTATGGCAAGACTTGAAAATGGTTGTTTAGCAATGATGAACAACCAATTTGACAGGGCTTGTAGAATTTTGAAAAGAATAATGGGAAAATGTTGCACAATCCAGGTGTGGAAATCTCTTAGACTTACCCAGAAAGCCAAAGGTGATTCTAACATGCATTGATTCAGGGTGTTGAATACTTATGTAATCAATTGTGTTTTGTTTTTCATATATTTTTTATTTTTTACAAATGTTCAAAATGTTCTTCTACGTTGACATTTGTATTTTGTGTTGATCGTTGACAAATGACAAAATCCATTTTGATCCCACTTTGTAACACACCAAAATGTGGAAAAAGTCAAGGGGTGTGAATAACTTCTAAAGGCACTATATCCGTCTGCTTCTCAAAATGCATCTCTCCCTCGTCTGTGCGCACAGTGTGGAGAGGGAGTGAGCGTCAAAAGCCAACAGCGACAGGCAGATACTTTCATAGCAGGAATCATCATAATGCATAGGCGATTACTGTTGACCAAATAATAGTTCTCGAACAATCTACAGGAACGTTGTGTAGCAAAATCACAGAAAATTACGAATGTAAGCCAAAACGCTTTTGGTAAGAGGAAGGGTGCGTGTCTGTAATTTTCAGTTTATCGTTCTAGCTCTAGGGTGACAGACTGGTTAATTATTTAGTGGTTACGAGTTTATTGCTCATACAAGTGCTACCTGTAATTTACTTAGGGAATTCACTTACAAGCACTCATAACCTTCACATAACTGAGTATAACCTGCCATTGAACTCCAGTAACATTTCAAGCGTCCCTTGAATGTTAAAAAGCACTTGGGGCTTTGGAGCCATATTTGTGACATTTAAACTCTGCAGCAAAGGATATCATGTACATTTTCCACTGAATATAGCAGCACTAACAGGTCTTGATGACCTCTGTAGAAGTATTTTTATTTCCCCACACAAGCTATTTCTTACTGATTCAGTCCAATGTCTTGGTTTTCCACAGACGCGACGGCAAGGCCCTGGAGCGTTTCCTGCAGGACTACTTTGATGGCAAGCTGAAGCGTTACCTCAAGTCTGAGCCCAGCCCTGAGAACAACGACGGCCCCGTCAAGGTGAGTCAGCACTTGACACTGAAATTGCAAGCGGTTAAGGGTGCTCCTAAACCGGACAAAATGATGCTGGGGGGGAAAAACACAGCGACTCAATGATTTCCAATGAGAGCAGTGTGTTGGGGGTGGTCCTAGATTTATGTTGTGCAGTCGGAGAGATGCCCCTGGTTTACTCCATAAAAAGGCATGTTTTTTTTTTTTCAAGGTTTGTCTGTGTAAACCATTCTCACCAAGGCCAACCTTTTTCCTCCTCTGTTGTTCTCCAGACTGTGGTGGCTGAGAACTTTGACGCCATTGTGAACGACGAGGAAAAGGATGTGCTGATTGAGTTCTACGCCCCATGGTGCGGCCACTGCAAGAGCCTGGAGCCCAAGTGGAAAGAACTGGGAGAGAAGGTAAGGGCTACTGATTCTAAATCCTCTGATGTTATGGCCGTTCTACATTGGCACATGAGACTAACCCTTTCCCTCCCCTACCTCACAGCTGTCCAGTGATCCCAACATTGTCATCGCAAAGATGGACGCCACAGCCAATGACGTCCCATCTCAATACGAAGTCAGGGGGTGAGTGATACATCTTCAAGTCGTAACTATTTAGCAAGTGCTTGACACGTTTGACATGTGCAAGTCCCGTCTGTTACACCCTGATCTTCATGCTTTTTTTCACTGTTTCAGATTCCCCACCATCTTCTTCGCACCAGCTGGACAGAAAATGAACCCAAAGAAATATGAGGTTCGTCCCGAGTATACATATAACATATATGGCTTGGGTTATAATATCTGGCTCATGTAAGACTCAAAGGATACTCACATTTAGACCTTATTGTCTCACATTGATGCAGCAGCTTACCTGGCTTGATGTTTTGTTTTTTTCAGGGAGGTCGTGAGGTCAGTGACTTAATCTCCTATCTGAAGAGGGAGGCCACCAACCCACTGGTGGCTCAGGAAGAGAAGTCCAAGATTGAGCTATAGAAGCTCAACTGGAGCCAACATTCAAGGGGGGAAACACTGACAGAACTCAATTATATTCCAATCTTTAGTGAACTACAGAATGCTCTGAACCCTCCCTTGGGTACTGCTGCTCTGGGAACACTGGGAGGTGGTGGCCAGGGCCTGCCTGATTTTAAATGTATGGAAAGAGGGACAGTTTTGAAATGGAGATTATTTCCCCTGGTCTGTACCTCCGATTGATGCACTTTGGTTTGAGACCAATTTCCAGTCATCTATTGCTTAGTTTTTTCAGAAAGCGGGGTGGTTATGGTGAAATCATATTTTTTTGTTATTACCTTTTTTCTTTTTTTTCACCGCGTTTTTGTACATTTGAAAGGATCGGGAATAAAAGGCCCACAAAACCAACTACATGTTTTTATTTTAATTGGTGGAGAAATGTTTGTTTTGAGTCCGGGGTGTATAGAACATGATCAGGCTGTGTATGACCCTAGTAGTAGAATAGAAAAATATATATAATTCCTTGAGGGATTTTGTGGAAATTATGATCTAAAACATACACAAATATTTGGGTATTTCTAAACCATATTCTTCAAAACTACAGGGAACCATTCTATAAAAGAAGTATGTTGCACTTTTAATGGGCCAGCTGATAGCTTACTCCTTGACCTAAAATCATGCTCCATGGAGATACTCTATTGAAAGGGGTGTTTTAGTCTAGGAATAGGCTTATTCTGTTTCCAGGAAACTGGCCTTGATTGTGAGAGGCTATTTCCAGAGACACCAGTGTGCACTGTCTTTGTAACACAGCCTTGTGAAAACTGCCTTTGCGACTTGAGGCAAGAGAACAGTTTGCACTTCGCAGATGTTGCTGTGTAATGTCATTGATTTTTGAGCAGAGGTGTGAAATTCTGCTGTGACAACTGATTCACATATTGAGCATCTGAATGGTTTAGAGTAGGGGTACTCGAGTACTATTTGAGAAAGTCTGGTCACACATTTCCTAGGTGGCAAAGCTCTGGATTAATATTGTCATTTATCGGTGTAACACCCCCACCTCGCAAGTCGCAACCTCAAACAGTTCACACCCCTCTTGTTGGCAGAGAGAAGATGTTGCAGTTTTAAAGATCATCCTGCAATTCTACTCATTTCGTCATGTCTTGTGTGTTCAGATGATACCAGGGGTCGAGGGCCGACTAAGTGCACCCCAAAAAATATGATTTTGCGAAATTCTCTGAGCATAGCCGCAGGATTGCGTTTTTAGGGTATGGCAAAGTGGGGTGTGTACAGTCGTGGTCAAAGGTTTTGCGAATGACACAAATACAAATTTTCACAAAGTCTGCTGCCTCAGTTTTGATTATGGCAATTTGCATATACTCCAGAATGTCATGAGTGATGCAATTAATTGTAAAGTCCCTCTTTGCCATGAAAATGAACTTAATCCCCAAAAAACATTTCCACTGCATTTCAGCCCTGCCACAAAAGGACCAGCTGCCATCATGTCAGTGATTCTCTCGTTAACACAGGTGAGAGTGTTGACGAGGACAAGGCTGAAGATCACTCTGTCATGCTGATTGAGTTAGAATAACAGACTGGAATCTTTAAAAGGAGGGTGGTGCTTGAAATCATTGTTCTTCCTCTGTTAACCATGGTTACCTGCAAGGAAACACGTGCCGTCATCATTGCTTTGCACAAAAAGGGCTTCACAGGCAAGGATATTGCTGCTAGTAAGATTGCACCTAAATCAACCATTTATCGGATAATAATATAATATGCCATTTAGCAGACGCTTTTATCCAAAGCGACTTAGTCATGCGTGCATAAAATTTTTTTGTGTGTGGGTGGTCCCGGGGATCGAACCCACTACCTTGGCGTTACAAGCGCCGTGCTCTACCAGCTGAGCTACAGAGGACACATCGGATCATCAAGAACTTCAAGGAGAGAGGTTCAATTGTTGTGAAGAAGGCGTCAGGGCGCCCAAGAAAGTCCAGCAAGCGCCAGGACCGTCTCCTAAAGTTGATTCAACTGTGGGATCGGGGCACCACCAGTGCAGAGCTTGCTCAGGAATGGCAGCAGGTAGGTGTGAGTGCATCTGCACGCACAGTGAGGTGAAGACTTTTGGAGGATGGCCTGGTGTCAAGAAAGGCAGCAAAGAAGCCACTTCCCTCCGGGAAAAACATCAGGGACAGACTGACATTCTGCAAAAGGTACAGGAATTGGACTGCTGAAGACTGGGGTAAAGTCATTTTCTCTGATGAATCCCCTTTCTGATTGTTTGGGGCATCCGGAAAACACCTTGCGCTACCATCAGTCCTGTGTCATGCCAACAGTAAAGCATCCTGAGACTATTCATGTGTGGGGTTGCTTCTCAGCCAAGGGAGTGGGCTCACTCACAATTTTGCCTAAGAACACAGCCATGAATAAAGAATGGTACCAACACATCCTCCGAGAGCAACTTCTCCCAACCATCCAAGAACAGTTTGGTGAAGACCAATGCCTTTTCCAGCATGATGGAGCACCTTGCCATAAGGCAAAAGTGATAACTAGGTGGCTAGGGGAACAAAACATCGACATTTTTGGTCCATGGCCAGGAAACTCTCCAGACCTTAATCCCATTGAGAACTTGTGGTCAATCCTCAAGAGACGGGTGGACAAACAAAAACCAACAAATTCTGACAAACTCCAAGCATTGATTATGCAAGAATGGGCTGCCATCAGTCAGGATGTGGCCCAGAAGTTAATTGACAGCATGCCAGGGCGGATTGCAGAGGTCTTGAAAAAGAAGGGTCAACACTGCAAATATTGACTCTTTGCATAAACTTAATGTAATTGTCAATAAAAGCCTTTGACACTTATGGAATGCTTGTAATTATGCTTCAGTATACCATAGTAACATCTGACAAAAAAATATATCATAACACTGAAGCAGCGAACTTTGTGAAGACCAATACTTGTGTCATTCTCAAAACTTTTGACCACGACTGTAGAAATACACCCACCAGTTGAAACTCATTTACTGTACTCTAAAATGCTGTTTGGAGAACAGCAAAAACAAACAGTTGTGGAATGGCGTGTACAATGTACTACTCAACCTCATCATACATATGCTACGTTGACTAATTTAGCCTACTTGTGGAACAGTGCAACATGAAATAGATGCATAATACATTTACATTTTAGTCATTTAGCAGACGCTCTTATCCAGAGCGACTTACAGTTAGTGCATACATTTTCATACTGGCCCCCCGTGGGAATCGAACCCACAACCCTGGCGTTGCAAACGCCATGCTCTACCAACTGAGCTACACAGGACTATAATACACGCTATCAAGGCCGACTTCAAATACTGATGTGAAATACCAACGTCAATGTGAAAGTAACTGGAGCATAAAACAGCTGACTGCGAATGCAAACTATGCCAGATAAATCCAACACATGCATTGAAATAAAAGGTATACGCCAAAGGAATTATTTAAGCCTACAGTCGACAAGGACGCATAAAAACAAACAAACTCGACCAAGGAATGAAGAAAAATCTACACGTTAAGGCCGCACCCGTGATTCAGCACCGCTGAATGGACAGCGCCTCAGTACAGGTAGGCATAGTGGAGCTCTGTGGGGTGTGGCTGAATGGACAGTGTCTCTGTCTAGTAGCCAGCTCGAATTAGGCTATTCAGATTGTGGGCAGTTAGACATTTTCACAGTTGAGTAGCCTACAATGCTAATATGAAAATCATAACTGGCACGCAGATCTTTACAAATTGTTGGATCAACTGTAAATTGTTACTCATGTGAAAAAGGTTGCAGACCCCCTGCTATAGGCCATATGAAGTCACCCTTGTGGAACGGCGCATACAGTGTACTATTACAGTGTCATTGTCTCATGCGCTTCCCACCAACATTGTTGCTCTGCATTCAGAGATGTTCCTTATAAGGTGTGCGTTTTTTGTATTTGCCTGTCTGCGTTATTCGCCAGGGAAGGGAAACATTCTGCGGATATTGAAGCATTGCATCAATAAGGTGTTTCTGAGAATATTGAAACATATCAACAAACGAGACTGCTCTGAGAATATTAATATTGCAACATAGCAGCCAACGCAGAGGTGGAACATTTTTACCTAGGCCAGCTTGTCTCTGTCTGACATTATTGTGTTGCCTATGCGGCATCTGGGTGCTCAATATATACAAAAGACTGCCTTACATCCACACTATAGCTAAATAACTTAGCAATATTTAATGACATTTTGCCAGCAAGATTGATCTGTTAGAATATCACATTTAATTCAGGAAGCTGGAGAAGTAAGACTGATAGAGTGAGAGGTGGAAATGCATTATACCAGAGGCAGGTAGGCTACAGGTAGGGGTGCAGGCAGAGGATGATGATGTTGGCATACAGCAAGAAGTTAAAAAGTTAGCCCAACTAGGTGATCATTAACTATTTGCATTATCTCAATTATCGTTCTGTCACTGCATGACAATGCACATTTGTTATAGCCTACAGTTGTTATTGTCTTGGAAGCCAAAAGCAAGACATGTATTTTGAGGAAATGCTCTAAATAGCAAGTTGTTCAGTAGTTTACTTTCATACCAATAGGCGCTGGATTTATTTTTTGGGCGTGCTACAGACAGCTATATCGAACTGCTAATACAGGACTGGTAAAGGCCCAGCGCACTACGTTTGTGCAAAACATTTTTTTCCCTAATATATATATATATATATATATATATATATATATATATATATTTTGTAGCACCCTCAGCACCCCTACTTCCCGCGACTATGTCTTTGAGTTCCATTCGGTTTGAATCAGACTTGAAAGGTGGAATTGACTGATCTTCCTCTCCAGTAGAGGGCAACATCTTTTTCAGCACATTTTGTTAACCTGGAAGTTCTTCTGTAAAATGACTGACGTCAGGCCACGAGTTGGTATTTTTCTCTGATTGGTTATTTTTAATTATATGGTCCATTCAGAGTTGAGTACGAATGCCAAAGGCGGGGCTTACGTACGTACGAGCCAATCAGTGCCACGTTAGTAAACTGCCTGGGCATGTTCAGTCGAGTGTTCGGGTCGGGTGGACGTGTCAGCAGAGGTACTGTATGCTAGCCATGCTTTAAGCAATTTGTATATTAAATCGTTAGCAAAGTGTTTTTGTTAGTAAATGTTTTTGTAATATAGCTAAGCAAGTACCTTATTATGTTGTTATTTTACGACATTTTGATTGTTCATTTGATTTTGCTACGTTGACAACACGCGGTCTGGAAGACGGACAGATGTAAAACAATGTGGCTGGTATTCACGTTTAGACACGTTCTTTGGCATCATGTCTACTCTTTAGTCACGAGTTTGTTGCGTTTTCTCAATGTAGGTAGCTAGTTCTAGATATTGTGACATAGCTAAACTTATCTAGTGTTCTTTTTGTCTTTTCTTTCGTTTTCTCCAATGAAATAAATACAAACGTTTGTTGCAGATGTGATACTACATGGAAAGAGAAATGTCTGAAACATGGACTTCAATTGGAAGTAAAACCCATCGCAATTCTTGGGGACTTCTCAACAACTCCAGATATTTATCCCGGAAAGCCATGCTCCTCAGTGCTGTGGAGAACGCCAGAGCACGGAAGAAGCATCAAAAGAAGAATAACATCTCCAATAAGAGAAAAAGGACAGAGGAAAACAATGAAACGCAGGACACTATCCAAAGAGTAAAAAATATAAAATTACCTGAGAATGACACGTGTCTAGAAGTTGATAGCACTCTAAAACCCACAGACTCATGGACTCATGTTGCTAAATTTGGACTGCCATTGCCCCCTACAGTAGAGGGTTTGCCAATAGCTGCTTCTGGGGACAACAGCATAGCCAACCAGCAGACTTCAAAAGGCACAAAGCTGGTTGGGGCCACTCTGAGTGAACGATGGGAGGTGGACAGTGGATTTGTGTCTGAGGCCAGCCCTCCAACTAGTGGACGTAGTTCTCCCTGCCACACAATGAGCCCAACCACCGTGGTGGCCATGGACTGCGAGATGGTTGGTACAGGGCCAGGGCGGGCGCACTAGTGAATTGGCACGCTGCAGCCTGGTGGATTACCATGGCAACGTCCTGTACGATAAGTACATCCGTCCGTGCCAGGCTGTGACTGACTACAGGACCCGTTGGAGTGGCATCCAGAGGCACCATTTACAGAACGCTCTGCCCTTCCCCAAGGCTAGGACAGAGGTGAGAAGAGAATGAGATGGTCTGGTACTCTTTGGCCTTTAATAGTATTATTTATTTTGTGACTTCTGGACCAAGGAGTGGAGTAGTCTATATGCTAGAAAGCCCAACTGGACCTAGTCATGGTCTCAAAGGAAAGGAGATGTACAATGGAAGCCATTTATAATTGGTTTAATACTTTGATTATTCCTATTTGTTTTGTATGTGTGTTCACGTTGGTAATGGCCACCAATACTATGTTTGCTTTCCTTGTCCAGATACTACGAATACTGGATGGGAAAGTGGTGATCGGTCACGCTCTGTACAATGACTTCCAGGCCTTGGACTTCACCCACCCATGTCACATGATCAGGGACACAAGTGGTATGCGTCTGCTCAGGCGACTGGCTGGCTTCCCCACAAAGCGCTGTGTCTCACTCAAGATCCTGGCCAACAGCCTCCTAAACAGGAAAATACAGGTGAGCGCTCCTTCCTGCCTTCTCTAACCAGAGATGGCTAACTGTTTGGTGACCATTTTAAAAGCATCTGAGGTTAGGGATCTGAATAGATCGATGGATATATCTTAACAGACTTGACCGTGTTGGGTTGGTCATTGGCGTCAACATGATCTTTGTCTTGTCCCTAACAGGTTGGAAGGAGGGGCCACAGTTCAGTGGAGGACGCTCTCGCTTCCTTGGACCTGTATAAACTCGTGGAGGGGGAGTGGGAACAGGATATGCAAGAGAGAATGAGGGACCGAGACACAGGCACTCTCCCAGACCCCGCCACCTCAAACCACTACATGCAGGACCAGTACTGGCCAGAGGACTTGACCAATGACAGCCATTGAGAGAAGCCTGTGTAGGAGGGTTGATGGGGTAGAAGTAGGCCAGGGGTTTTAAGTAAAATGGTCCCAAGTTGGCAAGGGTGATACTAAATTCATCTGATCAGCTAATATTGCACACATACATGCTGGGAGCCACAGTTTCCACAGGGGATAAGGTCATGGCAACACGTCAAGTCGCTCAATGTCAAGAATGGCATCAGGAAAGGGAGTGAACTGTGAAAGGAAGGGGTAAATGCAATGACGAGGGATTTATTTTAAGGTATTGCAGCCGTATGTCTTTGTGTGTATGTAGAGCATGTCAAGTTTGACATGGTTAACTTACTACTTGGATAGTTAGAACAATGGCTGGAAGTCTATGGGTATCTGCTAGCTTACTAGCACATACCCATAGACTTCCAGCCGTTGCGCTAACACTAGTTAGCATTGGTTTGCAAAACTACCTATAACTTCCTTCATACTGGACAGAGACATACAATTTTTATCTACGAGTTCATCGGACTCTGGGGAAGTAGATAAAATCCAGAAGTATCCCTTTAACTCACGATTTGTTAAAACTTGCTTGCATGAAATTACACCAGTATCTCCAGATAAGTCGGCAGGTAGCTTAGTGGTTAAGAGCGTTGTGCCAGTAACCGAAAGGTCGCTGGTTCTAATCCCCAAGCCGACTAGGTGAAAAATCTGTCGATGTGCCCTTGAGCAAGGCACTTAACCCTGATTGCTCCTGTAAGTCGCTCTGGATAAGAGCGTCTGCTAAATGACTAAAATGTAAATGTAAAAATAAGTGACATTCAGATTTTACATCAATTCTCGACTTGGTTCTCTGCCCATTCAGTCACCTAATAGTGAACCATACTGCCAACTTGATGTTTATGCTGCTGTTCTATGAAGACCTTGCTGTGCCTGTGCCCTAATTGAATATCAATATATTGGAATAAAATTATTTACAAAAATGTGTACTGTCTTAACTGGACTTCAAAATAGATGTGCTAATGCATTCCACCTAAACATGGAATGTCACTTTTTTCTAAATGTTTCAGATCTGAAAAACACATTTTGTCCCATGTCTCAACAGCCTCCATTTACGATCATTTAACATTTTCCCCCAGTGTTTTAATAAGACCTGAATCCCTCTGTTTTTTTGCCTCGAAAATGAGCAACTTGTTTGTTTTCCCCACTAGGTGGGAGCGCAATCTTGAACAAAGTTGGTTTAGCTTTCGATCTTGTTTCAGCCATCTGTGAAGTGTCAAATGTACAGTATGTCCTCTAGTCTTCCATATAATCAGCTTTTCTCTGGAAATTCTATAGATTATTTATACTACAAGATACTTTGGGTCATGTAGTGTGTGGACACCTGCTCGTCAAACATCTCATTCCAAAATCATGGGCATTAATATGGATTTGGTCCCCTCTTTGCTGCTATAACAGCCTCCACTCTTCTGGGAAGGCGTTCCACTAGATGTTGGAACATTGCTGCGGGAAATTGCTTCCGTTCAGCCACGAGCATTATTGAGGCCGGGCACTGATGTTGGGCGATTAGGCCTGGCTCGCAGTCGGCGTTCCAATTCATCCCAAAGGTGTTAGATGGGTGATTCTATGGAAATTATGGATTTTGAAGAGCCAAAACTTCAATAATAGTTAACCCTTTACCATTATAAATCAACATAAATGCCAGCTTAATGTATTTTAATATTTTTTAAATGCAAGTGCTACCTTTTTGTCACTGGTGTTACCTATATTTTAGATGACAATTCAGGCTTTCCTGAATGTAACAATTTAATTTCCATATATAATCAAAGACAAAAGGTCCATGCTAATATTAAATTGTTTTGATTAGTAATAATTTATTTTAAACCGGTATGTTTAAAGTTCTATTGTGCAACATTTTTATATTTCTACCTTTTTTTCTACCTACATTTTGTGTAGTAACATTAGAAATAATTGATGTTGAGTCATCAAAATTGGATTATCATATTCTTAAAATGCTTACTAATGAATGCAGCAGCAGTTGGGTAGATACAAATAAACATATTCTATGAAAATGGGTAACTGATGCCAGAACACCAATATGCCATGCAATAACACCAGTGACATAACATACTAAATTGATCAAATTTGTATGAAATAATTGTAATATTTTCTATTACAAATCATTTTATACCAGGTGTTGATTTCATATGAACAATAAAATGAAGGTTATTGGTCAAAGACTAAGACCAAAAGATGAAGTCTATTGCCTAAAATGTATTTCCTAACAACATTGTCGTACAAACATAAAACTTGTCTATTAGAACTATAGAAACAAGAACAATAGAATCATTGAACGTAAATTAAGATTACGTCTTCCCAAAAGCACTGAAACAAACATTTTGTATGGTGTAAAACATGTTCATGGAATAGGCCTGTTCCTGTACTAACTTTTCCTGTACTAATTATTTCCCATACTAACTTCACTTTTACTTGAGATGTGTTTGTCTTTAGAAGAGTTTGTCCATATGTTTGTCTTTGCCATGTTATTGCATCACGTCCATCTGTTATCATCTCAGAGCCAGTCTCCATTGCTTTCTAGCCACTGACGTCTTCTTCTCTGGTAGCCAGTTCACATCTGCCGCTTTCACACATTCAGGTGCTCCTCCAAGTACTTCCAGATACTGTGGTCAATCTGAGCTGATCTTTTGTTCACTGGCAGCGGCTTTGGCATCAGACACACAATCAGGTCATCCCAATACCAGTTGATATCATCTCTTGGCCAGAAGAACTTGTTGACTCCATTCCTGTGCATGCACTTAACTTTGACGTTTTGTTCTTCGACCTCCAGTATAACGCCAGGCTATGGTTGTTCATCGTAGTTCACAATGCACCACTGTCCAGTGTGGTGTTCCTCAATGACATCTGGACAAAGTGGAGCTGAGGTATCCGGGTCGATGACATCTGTTTGATATGGAGGTGAGAGACCATGGCCATTAGCCGGCACTGTCGGGAGAGTGTTTTCTTGGAGTCCATAACATGGGCAATCCCACACGCTTTGCGCTGCTTGGCAGAGACAACTTATGTCTCTGTATTTTAGGATGCCAGGCGTGATACTCAGAACCTGGTGCATTCGCATGTGTCCTTTTATGGTTACCAGTGGTACCCCAGAACCCTTCTGTGCCTTACTTTCCACCTCTTACTGACATAATACAACTGTATTTGAGTGTCAGAGTCCCTTACCGCCTGATAGAAAGACATCGTATCTATTATGTCTTTCCCGTGGTGGACCAAGAGGATAGCTGACCTCTTTAGTGAACCACCCCACTCCATCCGGAGCACCCTTTCCGAGACTGGCCTCAAAAAAGTTCCACGTACTCCCCTGGAAGCTCTTCTTGAAAGGTTCAGTGCCAACCATATAGAAGTTACCCTTCTGTTTATATTGGGTGAAAGGACCATCACTGAAGAAGTGAAATTGTTGCACGGTAAGGTACTGCTGTTTTATCATGTCCAGAATGGAGTCCAGGTGAGCTCATATGGCTGCTGGGTCATGCCTTCTGCTGGGTGAGATGGTGCAGAAGGAGATGGGGGGCTCCTCTGCCACATAGAAGACACCAGTGTGGACCGTCACCTGCTTGTGTGAACCCCCCGAAGTGAACTGACTGGATCTCTGAAGCATACTTGCATGTGAAGTTTTCACTAAAATCTACAGTACCAGTCAAAAGTTTGGGCACACCTACTCATTCCAGGGTTTTTCTTTATTTTTACTATTTTCTACATTGTAGAATAATAGTGAAGACATCAAAACTATGACATAACACACATGGAATCATGTAGTAACCAAAAAAGTGTTAAACAAATCCAAATATCTTTGCTTTGATGACAGCTTTGTACACTCTTGGCATTCTCTCAACCAGCTTCATGAGGTAGTCACCTGGAATGCATTTCAATTAACAGGTGTGCCTTCTTAATTGTGGAATTTCTTTCCTTCTTAATGCGTTTGAGCCAATCAGTTGTGTTGTGACAAGGTAGGGTTGGTATACAGAAGATAGCCCTATTTGGTAAAAGACCAAGTCCATATTATGGCAAGAACAGCTCAAAGAAGTAAAGAGAAACGACAGTCCATCATTACTTTAAGTCAATCTGGAAAATGTCAAGAACTTTTAAAGTTTCTTCAGGTGCAGTAGCAAAAACCATCAAGCGCTATGATGAAACTGACTCTCACGAGGACCACCACAGGAAAGGAAGACCCAGAGTTACCTCTGCTGCCGAGGATAAGTTCATTAGTTACCAGCCTCAGAAATCGGCTCAGATTGCAACCCAAATAAAAGCTTCACAGTTCAAGTAATGTGTAGTTCCCACCGTAAAGCATGGAGGAGGAGGTGTTATGGTGTGGGGGTGCTTTGCTGGTGACACTGTCTGTGATTTATTTAGAATTCAAGGCACACTTAACCAGCATGGCTACTACAGCATTCTGCAGCGTTTTTCAATAGGACAATGACACACAGCCTGGAGGTGTGTTTTGGAAGGGCTATTTGACCAAAAGGTGAGTGATGGAGTGCTGCATCAGATAACCTGGCCTCCACAATCACCCGATCTCAACCCAATTGAGATGGTTTGGGATGAGTTGGACCGCAGAGTGAAGGAAAAGCAGCCAACAAGTGCTCAGCATATGTGGGAACTCCTTCAAGACTGTTGGAAAAGCATTCCAGGTGACTACCTCATGAAGCTGTTTGAGAGAATGCCAAGTGTGCAAAGCTGTCATCAAGGCAAAGGGTGGCTACTTTGAATAATCTAAAATCTAAAATATATATGGATTTTTTGGTTACTACATGATTCCATATGTGTTATTTCATAGATTTGATGTCTTCACTATTATTCTACAATGTATAAAATAGTAAAAATAAAGAAAAACCCTTGAATGAGTAGGTGTCCAAACTTTTGACTGGTACTATATATGGATCAGGCAGTCATTGGTCAGGTTCTCTCTCAAGATCCGGTAGCTGTGGTACTGCCATCAGATGTTGAACAGATGTCTCCTAAATTTAAAGAGTCTATCCTGGAACTGGGTCACCAGCTCTTCCTCGGTTATGGCTATATTCTTCTTCACAGTGATTAAGCTACTTTTATCTTGTTCTTCTCTGTTGTGCTCTATCTTCTCCAGACACCTCTTCGTTGGATTGCTGTCTAGCCAGTGGTGCAGTGACGTGTTCACATGCTTCTTTGAATTGTTACAAACTGTGCTATCTGCAATCTCCTCCAGGTTTCTGGGCAGTGAAAGACCAAGTTTGTGCATTTTATCCGCCATAAACTGCTAGTTCTCACGAGTCTTGCACTGGCAAGTTTCTCAGTCTCTCTCCTGCGGTGTCACCACCCAAAAGGGTCTCTCCCTGTAGAAGAAGGGG